CTGAAGTGCATTTATGTCGCTTTGTTGCATTTCAAGAAAATGACTTGGTCTTTTCTTCCTGCGCTGAGCAAAGACATTTACATCTAATGTCTCCTCGCTGGCTAAACTTTAAAAAAAAAAAGACAACATGTGTACTTACATTTTTAAAAGTCACATTCAGGAGAGCTGACAGTCGAGGAGTCTTCAAGCAGCAGAATTCTGTCTGATAGACGGAATACACTGACCCCCCCCGCCCCCCGATGAAAACACACACAGACGTATATAACACACCCATCAAACTGTGTTTCAAGGACCCTTACTGAACAGACGGTACCACACACACACACACACACACACACACTGAGGCACTAAACCACACAGAAATGGAGAAATCCCACTTTCCCCTCACACCTCCCTCCTGAGTGCTGCGATGAGTGTTCCTAGGACTTAATACATGTGAAAGTGGCCTAATGACGTCTAAACCCATCTACGATCAGAAAGAGGAGGGGACAGGGTGGGGGGGGCAGTGTTACCGGGGGCTCTGGGGTCATGCTTGTCATGTTAGGAGGATTGGAAGGCCACATTGGCGTGAGGGAACACAGCTTTGAGTAAAGCAGCTTGTTTCAGGCCAGGATTGTGTTTGCGGACCCTACTGAGAGAGAGACAGTTTGTGTGTGTGTATACGTGTGTGTGTGTGTGTGTGTGTGTGTGTGTGTGTGTGTGGGAGGGAGAGAGAGAGAGAGAGATCTGTGCCTGGGCATTACAGACCTACATCCTTAATCCACATGGCCTGACATTCTCCGTTATCCGGCCTGCAGCAGCCAACTACCCAGACTGATGGAGGCATGGCTCTACCCTCCTGCTTTGTCATGCCACACATCACTCCCTTAATACAAACACACGCACGCACACAAACAAACACACACACAGACACACACACACACACACACACACACACATACTACATGTTATGCTGTGCCACTGATTCTCTTCCTCATGCACTTTTCCCACTTCCTCAAACCTACAACAATTCCTGGTCACAGCAGGACTATTTCCCAAGAAACAAGCCCCTCCTCACTTCCTTATTGGCACACACACAGACACACACACACACACACACACAAAGTCACTCTCAAAAGCATTTTACTGCAAGTCGAACCCCATTTCCAATAAAAACAGACAGATTGTGTAAAAGTTGTTCTTCCGCAGCTTTGTTTATACAAACCACAACCACAGTCGAATCCATTTGAAAAGTTTGGTACACATTACTCAGTACACTCACTCAACTACTGCACAAATTTAAAGTACTTGTACTTTACTTGGGTATATGACTTTTATGCTGCTGTATGCGTCCCCTTCTACGTTTGTTAAAAAATAGCGTAGGCTACTTTTCACCCATCTATATTTTTCTGCCAACTATCGTTATGGTTTCTTTTCAGATTAAATCTATTTAGCTTCAACATATTTTAAGATTAACATAAAGATTATTTTAAAGATAAAACCTCCTTTTGACACATTACATTAAAAAGATGTGTCTAACTGAGGCCACATTTCAGATATCTCAAAACTTGTCAAATGTTTTTTTTCTTTTTACCTGCCAAAAGCCCAGAGAAGTAAAATGATCCTGTATTTCACAGAGAAGCTAAAGGTTAGAGAGACATCAAAACAATCACAACACATTTGTAAGACAACTTATTTTGTTCCCTCTGCTTCATTAGTTATCACCTTTAATGACCTGGTGACCTCTCAGATTGACCTTCAGATCCATTGGAGAGGTCGGACCACTTTATAGAATCTAACCGGGACCGTTTCTCACCAGGATGAGTGCTTTAAATTTTGATGATTTGAAGAAGTGGCACAGTGATAAAGTGGGTATAGCACTGTTGCCTCACAGCAAGAACATACCTGGTTTGAATCCTGGCTTGGCTGGGGCCTTCCTGTGTGGTGTTTTCATGTTCTCTGACTTGCAGTCCAAAGACATGCATATTGGAGTGAGGTAAATACGACACTGTTTATTAGATGTGAATGTGAGCATGGTGGTTGTTTGTCTCTATAGTGGAGTATATGTCAGATATATATGTATATAGTCAGATTTACCTTTAGCCTCAGCTTGCCCTCAGGTTTGGCTTTAAACATTATTGCCATTAAAAGGCCAAAACACCTGATTATGCCATGGTACAACTGAGGATTATTATTTTCACTATAACAACCGGTCTCACGGAGCTCTTCTTTCCTACCTCTCCTCTCTTCCCCATTTCCCCTCGCTTAACCCAACATGTCGATGCAGATAGCCGCCAACACTGAGTCTGGGTCTGGAGGTTTCATCCAGTAAATGAAAGAGTTTTTTTCTCTCCACAGTCACCAAGGCGTTTGCTCACTGTGGGAAATGATGGGTTTAAGGTCAATTTAAGGTCTTGAACTTATTATGTTATGATTTGGTGCTTAAAATTGAACTTCATTGGATTTATTCAAAATTCATTTTAGTTCATTCATTTTTTGCCATGGATTTTGTGTAGCACTTTGTAACCTTGCTATACAAATAAAGTTAATTTCATAAAGTTATTAGTATACGTCAGCCCTATGGTGACGGGTCCAACACTCAAACAGGATAAGTGGTCTAGATAATGGACAGATGGATGATTTAAGAACATATTACTGATTATACTACTTTATACTACTATACTACGATTTTGAGTCCAGTACTTTGCAAATTGCAATAGAGTATTTGTACATTTACTGAGTTAAAGAGCCTGCTTACTTCCCACAACACTGAGTACTTGACCAATTAGGACCAGTACTGTACATTTAATTTCCTGTCAGGAGATATACTGCAATACTGATGTGTGATACTTTCTAGCATTTCAAGAAACCACTGGTCGTGTCGTTCTCTCTGTTCTATCTCACAAGTGTTTAATAATCCTCTCATAATTTCCCCCTTAACATTAAAACAAATCACAATGATAAATCATCCATCCTGAGTGAGAAGAGGAGAGGCCCCTGTGGTGGAATTACCCCAGACTTTTTCTTTTTTTATATACTAACCACTGGACTGCATGCTGCACGTCACGTGGCTCACAAAGGTGTTTTCCAGCCAAACAGTGTCAAACTGTAGAAATGTCAGTCTCCTGTGTTTTGTAAATGTGACCGGCTGGTGTTTTCTTGCTGTTGCCACAAGAGGGGGTAAGTTACATGAAGCCCCTGGTCATTATTGAGCCCTATGGCAACAAACGCACGACCCATAAGCCCCATGGATACAACATCCCACTGCTTACATCACAACACAGACAATTATCATTATTATTATTACTATGATTATTGGTGTTGTTGTTTTTGTTATAGTCTATTAAATAACAGATAAGACAAGACTTATATCAGATGGATACATGCGTGTCTCATTTCCTGACTCTGCCCAGAGAGAGAGAGAGAGAGAGAGATCCGGGGACACGGATAGAAAGAGAGAGAGAGAGATTGCACGGGCAGAGTGAGATAGAGCGAGAGAGAGACATAGATATGCACAGAGGAGGAGGAGAGGGAGGAGGGGGAGGCTCCTGATACCAAGACACGGAAAAGCAGGGGAGGGAAAGAGAGAGAGAGAGAGAAAGGAGAAAAAAAGGGGCTGGTGGAGGAGGAAGAGCGGGGAGTGGGAGAAAACAGGGGGAATAACACTTGAAGGAAGCACACGGAGGAGAGGAAGGACAGTGGCCGGTGCCGTGGACATCCCCTCCGCTCTGCGCTCAGGCTGTCACCGCGGATTGGACTCCGAAGGACCGACACCGCGTCCACCCCAGACCCCATGGGGTAACAGGTATGTCTGACTTCCTCATGTCACTACTCCACCTCTCTTTCTTTCTGCTTTATTAAAATCCAGCCTCGCTCCGCTGCGAACAGATTTCCATCCAGACGCGTCAGGTTTTTTATATATTTTTTACATCATGTCAACAATTAGTTTTCTCCCCCACGGAGCCGTCGCGTCTCCGGCTGATAGTTGGTGTCCGCGCAGGTTATTTGGAGACATGACACAATGCAACTCTTCGCAGCCGCGGCTCTGTGATCTGTTCTATGAAGGCCTGTCTGTTTTTTGGTTTTTTATTTTTATTCTTTATTCCAGTCCATCGGCACCACAGCCTGAGTGTGTGCTGACAGCTGAATACTCGGCCGAGTGAGCAGGCTCCAGTCTGAAAGTACGCCTACCTGTTCCATACGTGACAGCCAGCTGTCTGTTGCGCTTGTTGATATTTGGAGAAGCTGTCAGTCTCTGACGGGGATCGCACATTGTACATTTCTCACATTGTGTCGATGATAATGGAACAAACATAGTGAGGTAAAAAAAAATCCCAGTTTATATCTTCTTTATAATGCGTGTTTTTATAAATGGAAAGTACTTTTAAATTGGATGTTACGCACGCAGAGCGCACAGGGGAACATACATTTCCAGTTTGCAGAACATTAGTTTGAATGAACGTGATACACCTGCACACATGTGCCTTTAGAAATACCTGCTAACACATGCTCAGGTTGTGCAACCACATGATGTGTCACTTCATCTCCCTCTGTTTGAGTTTGATTCCAGCTGATCGAGCGGGATCCTGGAGAAACGTGCGAAGTTTTTGAACGCATGAGCCGCGGTGCCAGAGCGGCTGCATGGGGCATGTCGGGCACACACACACACACACACACACACACACACACACACACACACACACACACACACACACACACACACGCATATATCGTGCCACACAAAGTGGGCTGCAGGGTGATGCTCCGTGCAGCAGTCAGTCTGCAGGGGATTCAAAATGAAAGCGCTCGGAGGCTGGAAGACAAGAGGGCTTAAACCCTCCTCCTTCTCCCCTCGATTAACCCTCCTAAAGGGGGATTTCTCCAGCTGGAAATTTCTGCTGCGTCAACACCCAGCCCTCGAGTACCAGACAAGACAGGGGTGGAGGTGGTGGTGGGGGGATTTTGTTTGCAGATGGTGCTGTCGGGTAATTTTTCTTGTAATTGCCGAGGTACTGCCACCTGATCCATTTCGAGAGTTGAAAAGTGTGGCGTCAAGTGTTCGCTGTTTACTGGCGACTGGAGCTGAAAGCGTCTCAGGCTCGCTGCTCCTCTGTCTGCCTCCTGTGCTGTGTGTGTGTAAGTGTGCGTGTAAGTGTGTGTGTAAGTGTGTGTGTGTCTGCTGTCTGTGTCTGCCCTCTCTAACCGGCCAGTTCCGTCTTCCTCCATTTTCTGCCATGCTTCAGAGGGGAAGAACACCCACTAGTTCCCCCGCACGCTGTGCACGCCCGCAGCACTAAGCGTCCTGGCATGTGTCCTGCAGCCAGGTGAGTCCTGAGAAAGTGACAGATATCAGCTCATGTCGCTCATTAGCCTCGCTCTGAGGTTTTCTGAACTACTTTAGATTGTGTGTCATAGACCAACACCGGGTTTTCTTCCTCTGGAGGGATTTGTGATCACTTTGTGATATGATGTTAAGTCTGGATAGAGTCTGTTGCTGATCATTTGAGAGCAAAGGGACATGAAGCCACATTGTCAGCTACTGACTTTATATCAAACCACCACACAATTTACAGGAGATACCCCACTTCATCCTGATGGTCAGTGTGTGTGGTGTCTAGTTATTTCTTTGCTTAGTTTGAGGAACTTTCCAGCACAGGGAAGTCATTTCAAACTTTGCTGTAAAGTGTTTCTTATGAGCTCAGGACTGTAACTACGTAAACAGCTTGTTAGATCCAAGATTTTTTCTCAGTTTGACATCGGCTAACTGGATCTTAGGGATTAATAGACCATCTAGTGATTATTCTAAATTGTCTTAGGCCTCTCTGGATTTGTGTGGTTGTTTTGTTCTTCTGCGAAGAGTTAAGGGTTGGCACTTAACTTGATAAACCCTCAAGTCTTTTATTCAGTAATTCAATTACTGTTGGCGTGTCTGTGTTTATCTACATGCGTGTGTGTCCGTCCATGAACATTTTGTCTGAGCTTAGCAACAGTATCTGATTTTAATGCTGACTGCCTATATTTGGTACCTTGACGTGGACTATCTCCCAGAATGCTTTGTGTCTTTGTGTGTTTGCCCCGTCTGAGGTGGCTTCCCTGAGGTGGCGACTGTGTAGCGTTATCATTGCAAGAGCGGTGGGCATCAGTGTGCGTGCGTGTGTGCGTGTGTGTGCACCTTCTCCATCTGTGTTTTCCACGGGGAAAAAGTAATACAGACCAAGACAATAGCCACAAGGATGAGTGGGGGAGGAGAGTAGGCGAGATCGGACGAAAGATGGAAAAAATATTAGCCGTGCTTGTATGAGTACAAAGGAGGATTTGAAGCACTTTCCACTTGTGTAGTCTCTCATGAATGGACCTTTAAAGTTGGTTATAATACACAAGTTAAATTTACTTTTCACTCTTTGTCCTGGTCAAAGCCAAAGTTGCCGTGTGGTGGAGGTTGTTACTCTTGTATATTACCAATGAAGGTTGTGAGGAAGGGGGCCTTCCTCTCTTTTGGAACTGGAGCCACTTGCCTATTTGCTGTATTTGTGTGTGTTTGTGTAGGCCTGCTGGTGTTTAGGTGGAGCTTACTGCTCCCATGCTGGTTGGGAGCTGATCCGTGCCGCAGCAGGTTTAGTCGGCTTCAACTTACACCAACCCGGGGGTAAGTGGTGTACACTGCCCCCTCACAGGAGCACGTGTGCATCTTTGTATGTCGACAACATGACAATAAATTGCACACACGTTAACCTCATCTACATTTCTCCAGAAATAGAGAAAAGAGGCCAAATGCTCCATGAAGACACATTTGTTCCCCAGTTAGAAAACTTATACACCATTCATCTCTCTGCGTCTATCTCCCTCTGCCAGTTCTCTGGTCCTGGTCCCCCCTCGGAGTTCACTTGTTAATGGAAACACCTGTTAGGCTTACACTCTGCAAAATGAACCGTTTACACTCGAATCATGTGCACGACTTACATGAGACACCACGTCTCTCCAGAGTTTTCTGACAACTCTGTTTTTCTGTGTAATCTGTCATGCCGTGAACATTATCATTCTCACGTCTGATTTTGTGCGAACACAGCTTGGCACACATTAACCCGTGGAGCCAAACCACCTCCATCCCCCACCCCCACTAATAACTCCCAAGGCTTTTTAGCTTAACCGCTTCTATAGCTCATTGTGCAGTGCTGAATACAGGTGTTCCTCATCCCCCATGGGGTTACATGGATGCTGTGGGGGATGTGTGTGTGTGTGTGTGTTTGTGTGTTACAGCTGTCCTCTCTATCCACCTATCTCACATACTACCCCCTCCTCCACAGCATGGAGAACAGGTGAGTTTAAGCCACCCCCACCTCCACTAGCACACACAAACACGCTCTCCACCACCCCACTTGTCTTTTCACGTAGGTGTTAATATTTCATAGACCTGCACGCATGATAGGATGTCAATGCAAGCAAGAAGCCCTCTTTTCTTTTCTCTATTTTTTTATTTTAAATTGGGAGCTAACTTGCAGTTGTCACCGTAACGTTTCTAATCTACGACTGACAATTTAACGACCAGAAGCAAAACTACACTTTGATTGTAGCTAAAAATAAACCCAAGGGATTATTTTATGGAGTAAAACAAAAAATATGGCACAATGTCAGAATTTTTCATAGAAGTTGTTGATATTGCGAAACACGTTTTGGATCACCCGTTGCCGAGGAGGCAGATGAGGGATTTCGTCAGGGTGTTTTTTTTCTTTTATTTAGGAATGCAGATGTGATCCTTAAACCGGTTCCCATAACAATCACATTATTCTTATTTTCTGATGCATCCATCTCAGAAGCTTGGCGATCATATAGACTAAAAAAGAAATTGTTTTCTGCTTAATGCAGTCCTAATTATTAGTTTTTAAATCCTGTATATTTTCATTTGTTAAGATGCTGCAGCAAGCGTGCGTCGGGTAATGCACGCCAGATGTGCCTATTATCACGTAGGTATCTGTCAGTGGTTAACAAAATAAGGGAAGAGATAAAAACTCTATCTTTATGTTTTTAATGCTTCACATGTTTTTGATTTTTACATATAACCTCCATAATTACTCAGCTTAGTATTTTAAGATGCTCTGACTGAAACATTTCCTTCCACCTCCTCAAAGGAGGCGATGATTTCATCCCTTTGTGTTTGTTGGTTGTTTGGTTGTGTGTTTGTCTTCAAGCAAGATTACTGAATTACCAAAATAACACAACAGATTTCCATGAAACTTGGACAGATGCGTTATAGGTCAGAGAAGAACCCATAACATTTGAGTTTTGATCTGCATCAGGGGATCTGGGATTTTTTCTTTCTTTCAAATTATGAGGTGGGGTGTTTTTCATCATTGATTCTTGAAACTTAATGGGACAAATGAGGCATGATTAGGGCACTGATATTTATGAGTGTGTGAAAGGTGATCTAGTTGATTTCTGTTTTAATGCATAAAATTTTTTATTTAACTTCTTTTTTATTTCCTTTTCTTTTACATTTGAACATGTTTTTATTTTAATCTATATTGTATGTGAAGCCCTTAGAGCTGCATTTCTTGTACAGATAAAATTTATTATTATTAGTAATAATAATTTAAATGGTTTCATCAGGGGACTGTTGGGCCTTGGCGGAGATATGCGCGTCACTGTCATCAGTTCTGTCTTCTATCGTCTTTATCTTTTAGAATCATGAAAGAATCGTGTCTATTTTCAAAGTTAAAGAAAATGTATTTTTCCTCGTCTCGATCACCTCGATCTGTGTGATTCACACAATATCATGAAACGTCAGCCACTAATATTCTGGTAATGAGCTGACATGGGAGTGATTTCTGTTGGATTTCAGACTTATTCCTTTATCATTAACTAGATCTTCTGCAGAGGGATTGATTCTCCTTTATTTGGCTGAGTGTTGTACAGCTGTGCAGGTTGGTCATCTTTAATGCTGTATAATTACCTGGCTGTGCAGGACTGGTAAACCAGTGGGAAAGAACACACACACACACACACACACACACACACACACACACACACACACACACACACACACACACACACACACACACACACTCTTTCGAAGTACTCTATCGACAAGATAGTTAGCGTCCTCAGCTCTACTCTGCAGAAAGGTCACCATCTTTTCAGTCAGATTTATATAAGCTATTAAGAGCTTTAAGGTTCGGGCTTGAAAAATCTCATTTTTTTGTCGTGATGTCTGGGTTTTGCAAACTGCTGAAAGCTTTGGATAAGTTGTTAGTTGTTATTTTCCCAGTGAAAGAGTTTGTCTTTTATACGCACAGTGTGAGTATTTGATGAGAAATTGAGTGGCTTTGAGCAAATACATCTTTAGAAACAGTCAACTAGCCTCAGGCTCTGGCTTGTGAGAGATTTCCATATCAAAGCTCAGGTGAGGGAGAGAGTGAGGCAGAGAGAGAGAGGGAGGAAAAGAGGGGACGTAGAGGAGAGAGAGAACGGGGGAGAAGGAGTGAGGAGTGGGAGGAGGTGATGAGAGGGGGGCTGATGAAACACTCCAAAAGAGTTCCAGCCCTTGTTATAATGTCTCTTTTTTTGTGCGGCACAGTTTAGTCTGTGTGTGTCCGTGCTGTCTGTCTCTGCATTAAAAAAACACACAGAGAGAAAAGTTGGAAAGACTCAAACACAAACTGACACCTTCTCTCTATTCAGCACCACACAAACACTGTCTCCACAACCTCATGTTGACTGGTGCTGACCGCCGAGACACTGCGTGGTGCAGAAAATGGTTTTTCTCCCACTAATACTGTGTAACATCTGACCTGCCAGCTTCTGCCAATATTTGGATCCCTGTTTAATATTATTACCGACGCATAAAACCATCATTTTCCCTGGAAATATTTCTCCTCTTTTGCTAAAAAGTACCAGCTCTGACCCCATGGAGTAGTTGGCGACTCTCTAATTAATGGATGGAGTTTTTTTTCCGTTTGCGCCTTTCAAAGATGTGTGTGTGTGTGTGTGTGTGTGTGTGTGTGCATCTGCATGTGTGTGTTCCTGATGAACATTATCCTGCTTTGTAGAGTTTTGTAATCCAGCCATGGACTCGGGCTAGAGTGCTAAAGTGCTGCTAACAAGGCCTGTTTAACATTCTCTCCCCTGCTCAACATACAATTATTCCACTTCGCTGCCATTAACATGTACAGTAGAACTGTGCTTTTAATTGGCCTGATATGACTAATGCCAGATCAACTTGGATTTGCTAATTAGTTTTTGCTTTAAAAGTGCCATCAGGACATGAAATATTCATTGATGTGAGGTGGAGCGAGGACTGTGGGTGGTATTAGTGGGATATTAGTGGTATAGACAGGCTGCTGGGAGAAGAGATTGAACCTACGTTGGCCTGTTGTGGTTGGTTATTCATACTTTGGGCGAGGTGTTAGTTTTTCGTCATAATTTTAGACACCCACACACACAAAGCCACACGTTCATCCCGCGCACGCACACACCACCTCCATTCTCTGCATCACAAGGCCACCTCTTCTTCTTTTCCAGACCCCTCCTCCTCCTCTCTCTCTTTTCTTTCTCATCCTGCTCTCACCTCCCCCTCTGCCTTTCTCCCCCTTCCCATTATTTTCTTCTGTTCTTTCCCCCCCACTTGCGTCCTCATCCCACATCCTTTTCTCGTTCCGTCACTTCACCCCGCAGCTCCACCCCCGTCCTCCCCGTGCCCTCTGCTCCGTCCCAGCTGCATCTCCCTTTTTTCTTTTTTACTCCCTCTCCACTCCTCCTCTCCCTCATCCTCCTCCACCTTCTCCTTCTCGTTTTTCCCTCCCACTCCTTAATCTTCCACCTCTCCTCCTCCACCACCCCCTCCTCTTCTGTAAGTGGGCCAGGTGCCTCCTGTGGCCTCCCCTACTCTATTTCTCATTTTTACCCTTCCTCTACTCCCTTTCTCATTTTTACCCTCTCCCTGTTCCGTTTCTCATTTTTATCCTTTCCCCTGACCCTAGTTCATATTTATACATCCTTTTAATGCAACAGCTTGCAAAAAATGGACGCTGATTCTAGTTTTCTGCTCAAACATAAACACTTTTCTCTTTCTCTTATCTGCCAAGTTGAGCCGTCCAAGTTAGAATAACTTCTCTGTTCAGGTTCGAAGGTGACTTCTCTAAGGAGAAGTGGTGTTGTCTTGATATAAACAGACTTTTTCTGCTTTAAAAAACTGATCCTAAGTGCATATTATCATGTGACCTTTATAAATCAGCGATAGAAGTGGAGCTCCGTCTTTGTTGCTGGACATTTTATGAGCGCTCCTGCGTTCCTATAGTTCCCTTTATGAACGAGAGATGTGAGGCCAACAGAAGTGAGTAAGTTCACATCCCCTTTTCTGTGGCGAGGGGCAAATTCCCCCAACGGCCGTCTCACTGCTCTTTCCAGCTCCACACTGAAACATGCACATACATGAAAGTCCCATTGTTGCCGTCTTTTTGCTCTCTTACTGCTCTGTGAATGCACACGAGGAGCTGGAAATGCATTTTTTACCTCACCCCTTGTATTTTCTATTCCTCTTTCACTCATTGTCATTCTCTTTGGTTTTGTCTCTCGGTGGCTCTTTCCTTTGCCCTCTTCATTTTTAACTCTCTTTCTCAATCGCACAACCCTCCCTCCTGTCTTCTATCTCTCTCTCTCCCCCCCCGCTTGTTTTGGTGTGTGCGCTGGTGTGTCACGGGGGGGTGGCGTTTGATTGGTAGTTGGTGGTTTGGACGGACACCTGATACTGGCACTGCCTCACAATGTGGGAATGTGTGACTTCTTCAAAATTAGGTTTCCAAGGTGGGTGTTGTCCTCAGCGATGGCGAGCACGATCATGAGAGTTTGCACAGTGGTCCTTTTGTCTCTGCCTCCCTCTTTGTGTTTCTTTATGTCTGGCTTTGCCACTATTCTGTACATGAATTTTATTTGCAGCTCTTCCCGTCACTGTCGTGGGGAAGAAAAGCAGCGATGGCTCCAAAAGCCTGCGAGCCATGGCAGCCGTTAATGTTAGTCAACAGGTGACAGTCAAATGTCAAACCGCATTTGGGTAAACACTTTCTGAGTGAAAAGACGGAGGGGAGGGGGTGATGACAGAGGAGGGCTGGGGACAGAATTGAGGATCCAGGTGAGGCGTTTGTCTGGCTGAACCTCGCTTTCCGTAAATCACAGAGGACATGGCCGCCTCGAGCCACACTGCCTTATATGCAAAAAGTTACAAAAACTTTGAATGCAACTTTATTTTTGTCAGTATAGCTTTAGCAACATGAACAGGCAATCACCACACAGCACAGGAACAAAGACGACTAACAACCTTTAGATT